ATGCCTTTTCTGCATTCATTGATATGATCATGTGGTTCTTTACTATTTCTTTCTTTTTTTAAAAAAATTATATGGTGGATTACATTGATTTTTTTCTAATATTGATCCATCCTTGCATCCCTGGTATAAATCCCATTTAGTAATGATTTTTTTTTTTAATGTTGTTGAGTTCTATTTGCTAGGATTTTGTTGAGAATTTTTGTATCTACATTCATGAGCACTGTGGGTTAATACACTGGAATGCAAGGTTGGTTTGAACCACAAGGTTGGCAGTTCAAGCTCACCAGCCACTCTTCACAAAGCCTATATAGGGTCATTATGAGTCGGGACTAACTTGACAGCACTTAACACAACAACAATCATGTTCATGAAGGAGATTGGTCTGTATTTTTATTTTTCAGTGATGTCCTTTACTGGTGTTTATATGAGAGTTATGATTGCTTCATAACATGAATCCAGGAGTTTTCCATCTTATTCTATGTTCTGGAATAGTTTGAGTGAAGTCAGTGTCAACTCTTCCCTGAATGTTTGATAGAATTCATCAGAAAAGCCATCTGATCCTGGACTTTTTTTTGTTGGTGGTAGTTTTTAAATTACTCAATCAGTTTCTTCTTTTGTTAAGAGGTCTGTTCAACTTTTCTTCCTCACTCTGTGTTAGTTTAGGTAGGTTGTGTTTTTCTAAAAATGTATCCATTTCTTCTAGATTTTCAAAATTTGTTGGAGTACAACTCTTCATAGTATTTTGTTATTATCCTTATTATTTCCATTGGTTCTGTTTTGACAACACCCATATTGTTTCTTATGCATATTTTTGCATCTTCTCCCTTTTCTTCTGTTAGATTTGCCAGTAGTTTGTTGATTTTATTAATCTTTTCAAAGAACCAAATTCTTGTCTTGTTGATTTTTTTACTATTGCTTTTCTGTTTTCTAATTAATTTATTTCTGCTCTAAACTTTATTATTTATCTTCTTCAGGTGATTGTAGGCTTACTTTTCTGATTTGTTTCTAATTGTTGGAGATGTGGTTTTAATGTGTTGATTTTGGTTCTTTCTTCTCTTTGGATGTGTACATTATTACTGTAAATTGCTAAGAAATACTTTTGCTGTGTCCCAAAGATTTTGGTATATTGTGTTTTTTTCTCATTTGATTCAAGGAATTAAAAAACTTTAATTCTTATTTGTTTTATTACTTAATAGCTTTTAAGCAGGGTGTTATTTAGTTCTCATGTATTTGATTTTGTTTCCGTGGTCTTCTTATTGTTGATTTCTAATTTTATGGCATTGTGATCTGAGAAGATGGTTTAAAGTATTTTGATGTTTTTATATTTATTGAGACTTGCTTTGTGACCTAATATATGGCCTATTCTGTAGAATGTTTCCTATACACTTGAAAAGAATGTACATTGTGCTGTTGTTTGGTTGAGTGCTCTGTATAAATCTATGAGGTCAAGTTGATTGATTTGTGTTGTTTAGTTCTCCTGGGTTTTAGATGAATTTTTTTCTGGTTATTCTGTCCTTTTTTGAAAATGCTGTATTAAAATCTCCTACTATTATTGTAGAGTTATCTATTTCTTTCTTCAATTGTATTAGCATTTGATTTATGTATTTTTGAGGCTCTTTTGTTGGGAACATAGATATTTATTATGGTCATGTCCTCGTGTTCAGTTGACCCTTTAATCATGACATAATGTTTTTCTTTGTCTTTATGCTGGTTTTTGCCTTAAAGTCTATTTTATCAGAAATTAATATTGCCACTCCTGCTTGTTTTTGATTGCCGTTAGTTTGATATATTTTTCCATCCTTTAATTTTTAATCTATATTTGTCTTTGTGTGTTAGGTGTATCTCTGGTAGGCGGCATACTGAAGGTTCCTATTTTCTTATCCATTCTGTTACTCTCTGTCTCTTAACTGGTACATTTAATCCACTGACATTCAGCATACTTATCAACAGATATGAATTGATTGCAGTCATTCATTTTCCTGTGGGTTTTTTTGGTTTTTGTGTGTGTGTGATGCTGCTGATTTCTTTGTTCTGCATGTTTTCCTATTCTGAGTTCCTTTTTGGGTACTTTTCATGGCAATTTCATCATAGTTTTAATGTTGACAAAATCTTCATGGATTTTCCTTTTCTTCATTTGATATGAAAGCGTATTAAGCTTCTTTGAGGTTATCCTGTAATTTATTAATTTATTTCTTCCCCATTTAAAAACAGTTTGTTTTATCTTGAAATCTACTTGACTTCCTTTAACATTTTGAATTATGTAACTATACTTTTTCTCTTTTTGCTTTGTATTTGTATTCATTATAGATTGATGTCTCTGATTCCCTGTTTTCACTCTTGTAATTTTGTTTGCTCTGGATACTTCTAGAGATTGAATTCTGGGTGCTGTTACCATGGTTGTTGTCTGCTGTTGTTGATTCTTAGTCCAAAGGACTTCTTTTAGTACTTTTTGTAATGTTGACTTGTTTTTTTACTAATTCTTTAATTTCCCTTTATCTGGAAATGTTCTAATTTCACTGTCATATTGGAGTGACAGTTTTGCTGGGTATAAGATTCTGGATTGTCAGTTTTTTTCTTTCAGAGTTTTGTATGTCTGCCTATTTTCTTCTTGTCTGAATGGTTTCCACTGAAAACTTGGAACTTAATTATATTGGTGTGCTTTTATAGGTAACATTTAGTTGCTTTCAGGATTTTTTCTTGTTTTTGATTTTTGAGAGGCTGATTATGATATGTCTTAGTGATTTTCTTTTTGGATCTATCCTGTTTGGGGATTCATTCAGCTTCTTGAATGTTAATATTCTCATCTTTCATGCTGTATGGAGATTTTTCTTCCAGTAGCTCTTTGACTATCTTTTCTATGGCTTCCTTTGTCTCTTCTTGTTCTGGAATTCTGGTCATTTGTAGGTTATTCCTCTTCATTTTGTTTATACTACTGAATTTACAGTTAGTAGCAGTGCCACCGCAAGACCCTACTCCAGGCATAGATGTTAGGAATTACAGCACATATTTCTGGGGGACACAGTTTAATTCATAGCATGTAGCTTTTGCTAATCCATTTCCTCCCCATAACAACAACAAAAAGGTTTTGATATCAACTACATTAGTCAAAGTAGTCTTGGTATGGTGCTAAGTACTAGATTGCCAACTGAAAGGTCAGTGGTTCAAACTTAACCAGCATTTCCTTAGATACACATTGTACAGGATCACTGTGAGTCAGAATTGACTGTAGGGCATTCAACAACAACAACAACATTGGTCAAGCTGTGCAAACTTCACCCACTTTTGGTGTCACTTTTCCCATTACCATAAACAAGAAGTGATTACTACCCACCATCTATCTCTCTATATTTACCTATTCTTATCATTTCATAAAAGTGAGAAACACATTGCCTATCTCCAGGGTGCAAACTTGGCTGGAAGAATAAAGATTTCTGCAGTCAAATCAGGCTGAGCTGTGGATCCCAGTTTAACCTTGGAGCTGTCTGCAAGCTCTCCCAAAGCTGCTCTTTCTCATCTTAATAAGTCTCTTGGTCCTTAAAGACATGAAAAACTGGGATTGAGGGAAACGTTGTATATAGTGGAAAGGGAAGAATGTCTCAAGACTTTGCTTTCAAAGCCTTTTTTTTTGTTTTTAAACATAGTTTATGGATTCTTGGAAGGAGGCCTGCATGGGCTCAAGAGCTAGAACTTCCAGAAATTGAGTGGGGGTCGGGCTTGGGGGTGGGGGTGACAGATAAGCTTCACAATCCTTTGAGAATAATGGGATTGTACCCTACCTTCCCCATCACTGCCACCATTGTCTACTGTGTAATCTAGGGAGCTGTCCGCCAGGATTGACTCTAGCGTTCCTTTCCTCACTATTCCAAGTCCATTCTTCATCCTCCACACCCACTCCAGGATCCACAACCATGTCCCCTACACCCTTCTCATCGCCGGGGCTGCTTTTCTCTTTGCAGTTCCGCCTCTCGCGGCAGCTTGGTAGCAGCGTGGGCCCTTTAAGAGCAGTGGGACCCGCGAGCGAAGAGCGGAGAGCGCAGTCGTCCAGCGGGCTGGGGAGGACCCTGCGCCGAGACTGGGTTCTAGTAGCTGGGTGTGCGCAGCCTAACAGAGTCGGGGCGCGCCCCAACCGGCACTCCCCAACCTTGTGATCTGTTCGGACCCTTGGCCTGGGTCCTCCCCTCCGCCCCGCCCCGCCCCGCTTCGGCTTCGGCTCCGCCCCGGCCCAGGCCACCGGGACCTGGAGCCGGAACCAGGGTGCCGCAGCCCCAGGCAGGTGAGAAGAGCAGAAAGTCTCCATCCCCGGCCCGTGGCCACACTCAGCAGCTCGGCTCGCACTGGCCCGGGGGTGCGCCAAGGTGACTAGGCATGTGGGAGATGGGGGTTCAGCTAATTATAAGGGGGGCTTAGCTGGGAGGAAGGGTTTGAATGCTCCTGTCTTTGGCGAGAGCCCAGGGCTCGCGGGCCCAGGGGCGCCGGCAGATGGGACCTGCCTGGGTATCGCGCCCAGGGATGGAGAAGGGGACGCAGCAGAAGGCCCCAGTCTCCTCTAACGCCGCCTTCCCCTTGTCCATCCTGCGCCCACCCTGCTACTCTGAACTAGCGGGCAGCCTTGGGTTTTATCCCATCCCACCACCCCCCTCAGCCATTCAGTCCCCAGGGTTTGCCGGCCTGCGGGGTAAGGAGATTAGAGACAGCTCGCGGAGGAGGGAGCGAGTGAGGGCTTCAAGGGGCTGGACTGGCGCTGGGCTGGGCTAGTGCTGGGCTGGGGCTGCCCAGGACCGAGGAGAGTTCGGGACCGGACTGAGCGTGAATGCCCTGGGAATGGGACTTGGGCTTGGGGGTAACGTCCAGGTCGTGGGGAGTGAGATGCTGACAGTCGCGGATCTGCCCTTAGAAGAAGGTGGAGCATGGGTGGTGGGGCAGTATTAGAAAGCAAAGAGCTTGGAGCTGGAGCTCAGTGTGTGCCCCGAACTGAGCAGGCCCTTTCCAAGCAGGCCGGCGGCGTGATGGCGGATAGGGCGCTGGAGGCCGTGGGCTGTGGACTAGGGCCAGGGGCTGTGGCCATGCCCGTGGCGCTGGAGGATGGGGCGGAGCCCCCTGTGCTGACCACGCACCTGAAGAAAGTGGAGAATCACATCACCGAAGCCCAGCGCTTCTCCCATCTCCCCAAACGCTCAGCCGTGGACATCGAGTTCGTGGAGCTGTCCTATTCCGTGCGGGAGGGGCCTTGCTGGCGCAAACGGGGTAGGGAACTACGTGGTGGGGAGCTGACCCCTCTCTGGGTTTCCTCTCTTGGAACTTGAGGCAGAGGTGCCTCCTTTTCTGCAAGTCCCACATCAGTAGTAGCCCTGTGGGAACACTGAAATGTGTGCCTCAGACCCTCACTCACTGTAGACACACTGATGATGCCAGGGTCTGTACTCCCCCAAGAGTTAAGGGGCCAGCACTAGGTTCAGTTAATTATTGAAACTTTCCTCTTATAAATAAACACTATGACCTCTGATTTTTAGATAGGATCCTTGCCTTTGAGGGTTGAGATGAGAACGTGGGGGTGGGGGTGGGCAGAAGTGGAGCAGGACAGGGGTCTGTATCTGAAGGACTGGGAGTTCTCCAGGGTGTACCTATAAAACAGTGCTAATTTTTTGAAGGTTCTCATTCCTGTCATCTTAGTTCATTCTTGCCACAGCCGTCTGAGGCAGGCAGGCAGGGCGGAGGTTGGGAAGAATAGATGCCATCCCATGTTACTAATAAGGAAACTGAGGCCCATGGAAGTTGAGTCATTTGAAGCATGTCACATAGCTAATAAGTGGTAGAGCTGGGACCAGAAGCCAGGTTTCCTGGCTCTCCATATACTGTCTTTTTTGCTTCTGTTAGTAATGCTGACATATTCCCTTTAATACCTTAAAAAAAATTGTTTTTAGTTAAGAAAAAAAGAGCAGAATGCTAGTACAACAGCATTGTATCTCCTCTCATTTCCCCCTCCCTCCCCAATTTGGACAAGTCTCGTAGGGCCTGGGGCTCCTGGGTCCTCTGAATCCCGACCCTCTCCTTCATTCCTTACCTTGGGCTGCTTGAACAGGGCTTGAGGAAGTTGGATTTGTTTCCCAGAGCCTGGGTGTGGGTCAAGGGTGGAGCCTGGGACATTGTTCTATGTATGAGGTGTAAGAATAGGTTTGGGGTGCTTCAGAGCAGGATTGAGCATGAGTTGTTTCTTGCACTCCCCACCCTCACTCTGATGAGGGGCCAAGAGGTCCCACAGCCTGAGCCAATGGAAACTTAGGCATCTAGGCTCCCTGCCCAATGCTCTAGCCCTAAGCAAACTCCCTAAGTCTTAAGACCAGCTCTGGGAAAAATGATGTGATAACTGTTATTTCTTAAGCCTTCTCATTTTTTCACATGTGTGGTGCTGTAGGGTCAGCACTGGACTGTGACCACAAAGTCAGCAGTTCAAACCCACCAACTGCTTCTCGAAAGCCCTATATAGGATCGCTATGAGTTGAAATCGTCTCGACAGTACTTACAATAATAATAAATGAAAAAGAAATGTGGATAGGTGGGCTAGTGCTCTGTTTTCTTTGACTCACTATTCCTTCCTTTTGACTTTGTCAGCTCCATTCCATTCTACTGCCAGTTTTTACCATCTCTCCCATTCCTTGCCCCTTTTGCTGCCCTCTGTCCTTATTTCTCTTCTGGTATATCCTTTCCCTTGAATCCTTCTCCCTGTTCCTAGAGGATAGAAAGCAAAAAGGGATAGGAAGAGAGCACACCAGGCAAGGGATGTGAAGAGACATTCTGCCTTCCCAAACTCATTGCCAGGGAGTCAATTCTGACTCATAGTGACCCTATACATGTGGCATTTACTATTTTTCAAAAACACTTTTCTATGTATTATTGCTAATTATCTCATTTAAAATTCACAATAAACTTATTAAGTCCTTGAATGGTGACGAGGAAATTGAGGCCCTGAAAAATTTAGTGCTTTGATAAAATTACAGAGTTACTAACTGAGGCAGGACTGGAACTTCAATCTTGTGACCTTTCGATAATAATATTGACATAGAATGAATATGTTGCTTCTCCTCTTATTGGAGGCAAAGACAGGACCTTCAACTTCTATAACAATGACTCTTAGAGTTTCCTGGAGTCATGGACTCCTTTGAGAACCTGTCAAAATTCACAGCCCTTTCTCCAGACGATTGCATATTGGCTGGACCCTCCGATCTCCAATGGGATCACAGACCTTTGGTTAAGAGTCTTTGCTTTAAAGAAAGGAGATAACTTGCTGTTTCTGGGGTGAAGAAGTTGTTTGCTTTTGGCTTGGTGTCTTCCTAGCCTGGAAGTTCAGCTGGGCCCCTTCCAGGCTGAGAACTTGTGGTACATCAGGAGTCTGGAGACCTGGGTTTGGAGCTCTTATAAGCTCTGTGATCTTGGGCAGCCTGTTTGCCCTTTCTTGGCTTCACTTTCCTCATCTGTAACAAAGGATGACCAGAATACCCCTTACATAGGCTTTTTATGAAGCTTACCGGAGATAATATCTGTGAAAATGCCTTGTGAAAGACAAGTGGAAGATGATATTTGTATTAGGCACCATGTTCAATCTAGTGCTTGGCTGTGATTAAATGAGGGAAAGGCTCATCATTGCCATTTTTTTCCCCTGCAAAAGAAATCACTTCCTGCAGACCTGAAAGGCATATGCTAGAATGCACAACCAGACCTGTTTTGATTGATGGTGATGATGACTTGAGGCAGAGGTTGGAACTTCTGAGTTCCTTTCTTCCTGTAAAGAACTTGTTATGTGATGTTGGGTGAGTCACTGGATGTCCCTGGGTCCCAGTTGCCTCACCTATCTTGTGATACGAACAACTGAGGTAATGAGCTCTGTAAACTGTAAAGCACCATCCAGGCATTTGGTGGGATCCCAACATAGTAGTTGTCCTTGTGCCTATGGAACACAGCTATGCATATGTCCAAGGAGCTCTGGTAGTGGAGTGGGTTACAAGCTTGGCCGCTAACCATAAGGTCAGCAGTTTGAATCTACCAGTCATTACGCAGGAGAAAGATGAAGCTTTCTGCTCCCATAAAGATTTATAGCCTCGGAAACCCTATACAAAGTCACTGTGAGTTGGAACCGACTCTGTGGCACCTAACCACCACCACCGTGTATATGTCCAGAGGGAAGGTGAGTCCAGTGCCCATGATGTTAAAGATAGCATCCCTTCACTATAGAGGAGAGAAGGAATTGGGTTCTGTGGGGTCGGAAAAGGATGGTTCAAGGGAAGTTTTAAGGTGGAAATTGGTGTCTCCTCACCTGAGGCAGGTCTGAAAGCACAACCTTCTATCCCTTCCTTCCTCATTGACTTCACTCTTCCTCTCCACTCCCACATTTCACCTGGTGGCTCCAGATAGTCTTTGTTCCCTAAATTACAGAGCGCTTCTTTCCAAAGCCTGGAGGTTCTCTGCCCTTGGAAATCCTTCATGATTTATCAGGAATGCTCCCTCTTCCATAAAGCCACTTTAAAAAAAAAAAAAGAAAAGTCTTTATTGTGAATTGAATGATAGTTTACATGGGAGAACATTGGTTTTACACTCATCATTTCATTGCAATGATTGCAGTCTTCTCTGTGCATCATCATTCAACAATATTTGCATGAAGCCACTCTTGATTTTCTCTTAGTCCCCTGCCCTTCACTTCTGATTTCATTTTCTGCATTTTCAGAGCACATTATTTCTATTTCTTTTACTACCCATATTTATTTTTCTTCAGGTCATAGCTGTTTTCTGGTCTATCTTTCTTGCTTAGACTGTGACCTTGTGGGTCTAGGAACTGTGTCTTCCTCATTGTTTTGTTTTGTTTTTTGGTCCGTTGTCTGGTACAGAGCTTGACATATAGCAGTTCTCAATAAGTGTCTGTCAAGTGCAATTAGTAATAAAATGCTACTTTTTATGCACTCTGTGTGCCATGCACTATGTCACAGGCTTTGCATATATTATCTCACTGAATCTTTACAACAATCCTATGAGATAGGTACTGTCATCCTCATTTTACAGATAAGGGGCCTGAAGTTCAGAGAGGTTCAGCAACTTGCCTGAGGTCACATAGTTGGTAAGTGTGGAGTCAGAATTTGAACCCAGATCTACCTGTCTTCAAATCAATACTCTTAATGCATATGCTGCCTCCCAGTGAAGGAATGCAAGGTGCCATTTTACTGGACCATGTTAGGAGTTGGAGAGACAAGCTTGGTGGGCAGAGACAGCACAAAGTAAGAAGGCCTTTTCAGAATGAGGCAGAAACTCTGAGAACAGAGCATCTACTATATGCCAGGCAGCCTGTTGAGGTTACAAAGATGAGTAAGACACAGACCCTGCTCACAAGTAATTCATTAACTAAGAGGCTGGGGGAGAGAAGTGAGTGAGGCACATCGAGTCACAAACCCAGACACAGTAGCAAATGAGAAGTGCTATGGGAGCACAGAGGAGGGTCAGTCCCATGTCTTCATGGAGGGGACACAAGAGGAGCAGTTGTGTTTATGGAACAGAAGCAGCTTTCCATACTCATTGATGAGATGTGTGGGTTCTCCTATGGCCTTTAGGAGAGAATTGTTGCCTCTGGTACTTTGACATTAGTGGTGGTCATTTTAGGGGGACAGGATGAGAGGATGTGGGGTACTATTGGGGCTTCCATCCCAACTAAATCATACTGAGTAGAGACTGCCTATTTGACTGATGGCCATAGCTGGTCCTAAGAATTTTGGGGTGCCCAGTTCACTATAGCCCTGACCAAAAGTTCCTCCCTCTCTCACTGCAGGTTATAAGACCCTCCTCAAGTGCCTCTCAGGCAAATTCTGTCGCTGGGAGCTGATTGGCATCATGGGCCCCTCAGGGGCTGGCAAGTCCACATTCATGAACATCTTGGCAGGATACAGGTGAGGAGAAGGTTGAGAAGGGATGAGGAGCAGGGCCCAGGAAGACAGATCCCCTAGGCAGCAGGTAAGGTATCCTGAAGTGGGTTTGATCAATACTCATTCTCAACCAATGCTCCCCTAGGGAGTCTGGCATGAAGGGGCAGATCCTGGTCAATGGGCGGCCTCGGGAGTTGAGAACCTTTCGCAAGATGTCCTGTTACATCATGCAGGATGACATGCTACTGCCACACCTAACAGTGTTGGAAGCCATGATGGTGAGGGTTAGGTGGCCGTCCTTTGTTCCCACCCCCTGTCCCCTCAGCGGCTGAGAAGCCAAGGCAGTGCCCTCTCCCGCACATCCCTCACTAGCCTACTCTGGTCTTCAGGTCTCTGCTAACCTGAAGCTGAGTGAGAAGCAAGAGGTGAAGAAGGAGTTGGTAAGTGAAGTGGGGAGACAACTTTCTCTTTGGGTGCTACTGAGTCCTGGGGTCCTGAGTTGGAGGGTGGGAGCCTGGTGGCTAAACGTGAGATGGTGGTCTTAAGGGGGATCCTGCTTCATATTGGGTGATGCCCAGAGGAAGCAGAGACTGTGAAGCTGACCTGGGGTGGGTGGGGGGCTGGCCAGGTGACAGAGATCCTGACAGCACTGGGCCTGATGTCCTGCTCACACACGAGGACAGCGCTGCTCTCCGGTGGGCAGAGGAAGCGCCTGGCCATCGCTCTGGAGCTGGTCAACAATCCACCTGTCATGTTCTTTGATGAGCCCACCAGGTAGTTCTTCCTCCTTTCCACTAGCATTTTCCCTTCCCCCAGCCCTGAGCTGCATCTTTGCCATTGATGCTGGAGATCAGGCGGCAGCTTGCAGCCTCCTGGGGCCAATATAAAGGCTTGCTTCTCATCTGCATCCCTGCCAGTCCTGTCCCCACCTGGTGTATCCTGTTGCTGTGAATAGCCCCATTCTTCACCCAGGCAGAACTCTACTTATCTTCTTTGATGCCTTCCTTCCCTTCTCTCCCTCACAGCCAAGCAGTCATGGACGTCTGTTGAGTCCACCTCCTTTAGCTAGTTCTTGGATTTGCCCCTCCCCCTCAGAGCCAGCGCTTCAGCTCAGGGCATCATCAGCTCTTGCCTGCATTTCTGCAACAGACTCATATCTCCTCGTGTCCTGTCCCTCCCAGCAGATCCTTCCCCCAAATTTGAGCCAGAGTCATGGTTCTAAAAGACAAATCTGGTGATACTCACTCCTCTGTCGAAAAGCACGCAATCATTTGCCCTCAGAGTCAAGTCAGATGACATACAAGGTTTTGGTCCCAACCTACTTCGCCAGCCCAAGGTCTTGCTTCACCCTGTCTTGCATTTTATGCTCTAATAATACTGAATTGCTTGTAATTCCAGATTTAAACCATGTGTTTCATGCCTCTAAGCCTTGTACCTTCTGTGTCTTCTGCTGGCAATGCCCTTCACCACTGCACCTCCTCTCCCACTGTTACCTGGCTTAACTTCTAAAATTGTCGTAAATATATATGTTATAAAACATTTGGCACACCAGCCATCTTCGCACATACAGTACAGTGACATTCATTGTGGTCTTCATATTGTTCAACCATCACCCTTTATCACTCAGGCAATCGAACTCCTCTCTAACACGCTTGTACAGCAGAGCTAAAGCTCCTCTCTCTTACTCCTTGTTCAACAGCACTTCCCGCTTGATCAAAAATGATCCATGCCTCTGTCTAGTTCTCCCTCATTGTAACCCCAGTGCCTGCCATCCTACAGGTGCTAGTATGTGCTGGCCAAAGTGGGCAGTGCTCTGGGTTCCATGGCCTCCAGATACCTGAACCCTACAGGGTGTATAGGCTATAAAGGTAATCAGAGTGACCTCTTCCTGCCTATTCCATCCCCTTTATAGCAGCGGCCCTGCCCTAAACACCCCCTTCTCTCAGCCCCATCTACCTCACCTGGCTCCCTGGTGGCTTCTCTCTGGACAGTGGTCTGGATAGCGCCTCCTGTTTCCAAGTAGTGTCTCTCATGAAGTCCTTGGCCCAAGGGGGCCGTACCATCATCTGCACCATCCACCAGCCCAGTGCCAAGCTCTTTGAGATGTTTGACAAGGTGAGTGCTTCCAGGTCTCAAACAAGATCTGTAGGGGACAGGGAGGGTACTCGTGGGACCCCATCTGGTGCACTAGCCATGTGTTCTTCAGCCCTCTCTTTCTACCTCAGCTCTACATCCTGAGCCAGGGTCAATGCATCTTCAAGGGGAGTGTCACCAACCTGATCCCCTATCTGAAGGGGCAGGGCTTGCACTGTCCCACCTACCACAACCCAGCAGACTTTAGTGAGTGGGGACCTGGGGGAGGCTACACCTGGGGTAGAGATCTCACTATTGCTTGCCTTCCCCACACATCCAAGGCTGACCCCTGGGAAGTGAGGGTGGCTCTTAGCTGAGCACTCTCCTTTGTGTCTCCCAGTCATTGAGGTGGCCTCTGGTGAGTATGGAGACCTGAACCCCATGCTGTTCAGGGCAGTGCAGAACGGGCTGTGTACCATGACAGAGAAGAAGGGCAGCCCTGCGAAGAATGAGGTCCCCACCACCTGCCCTCCTTGCTCTCAGGTGAGTAGGAGAGGAGGGGGCAAAGACAGCAAACTGGGGGAGGGGAGAAGGGATCATTGAAAATGGTCCTGGCAAAGAGGCTACTTCCAGAGACATCACGACCACAGGGTACTGTGAAGACTCTAGGACTTGGATGTTGTTGTTGGATGCCACCAAGCTGATGCAGCTCACAGTGACTCCATGTGATACAGTAGGGTTTTATAGGCTAGAATCTTTAAGGTAGAAGCTCACCAGGTCTTTCTTCCACGGAGCTGCTAGGTGGGTTTGAACTGCTAAAGTTTGGGTTAGTAGCCAAGTGCTTAACCATTGTGCCACCAGGGCTTAGACTAGGAATAGACCTACTATTTAATAGCTGTGTGACCTTGGGTAAGTTATTTAACCTTTCTGAGCCTCAGTTTTTCCACTCATTTATTCATTCTGAAAATTCTTATTGAGCATCTATTGAGTGTGTTTTCAGTACCAGCACAGTGCCTACTCAGTAAGCAAGACATACCTTATCTCTGGCTTTGGGGTCACGATGGCTTATTGTCATCTTCAACCTGGAGGTGAGGATATTTACCTCACAGGGTCCTAGGAGGACTAATTAGATAACTGTAGACTGTACTTGGCATAACAGATATTTGTTTGCTCAGTTCTAGTTCTCATCCTCTAATGAGATGAGAACTAATTTTTGCTACTGTTGTCATTATTAGCATTACATATTATTAATATGGAACTGGGGACATGAGGACTTACAACCTTAGGGTAAATATTTTCAATGAATGAAAGAATAAAGGAGAAGTCATCATGATTCTCTCTCCCAAGGCTTTACCACCTCCGTGTATTTCTCTCGGTATCTCAGAGTCACACCCCCAGATACAGCTTTCTGGTACAGAGCTCAGTGGTGGAGAGTTCTCCTGTTGACCTGGAAGACCTATGTCCTGGTGAAGGGCTCAGGAGTTTTCCATTCCCTGAACTGGGTGGGCAATGGGGCTGGGTAGCCTCATCTGACCCAATTTCCTCTCACCCAGGAAGTGGATCCCATTGAAAGCCACACTTTTGCCACCAGCACTTTCACGCAGTTCTGCATCCTCTTCAAGAGGACCTTCTTGTCCATCCTCAGGGACACGGTGAGGCGTCAAGTTGGGGAAGAGGGGAAGAGTACTTTTGGGGTTTAGAAGTTGGGATGAGATGGGGTTCCTCCTCCAGCGGCCTCCTAATGGAGTATGAATCTGTGAGGGCAGCTCTGAGTTCCTGACTCAGGATGGCCTGGCTGGCAGCCTGCCCACCCCTAGCCTGTGACTCATCCTGCCTCTCCCTTCCCCCCACCGTGATGGCACCCCCTCCCACAGGTCCTGACCCACCTGCGGTTCATATCCCATGTGGTGATCGGTGTGCTCATTGGCCTCCTCTACCTGCACATTGGTGATGATGCCAGCAAAGTCTTCAACAACACTGGCTGCCTCTTCTTCTCCATGCTGTTCCTCATGTTTGCTGCCCTCATGCCAACTGTGCTCACCTGTGAGCAGAGCTGCCTGGGCATGGAGCTTGGGGTTGGGGCCATAGTATTGGGCAGCTGTGCCTAAACCTATCTGTCTCCTCAGTCCCCTTAGAGATGGCCGTCTTCTTGAGAGAGCACCTTAACTACTGGTACAGCCTCAAAGCATATTACCTGGCCAAGACCATGGCTGATGTGCCCTTTCAGGTCAGCCTCTTCTTCCCGTCTGCCCTCTGCTTCCATCTTGTATTTTTCTCTCTACGCTTTCTTGCCTCCCTGAACGCTGTCACTTTCCACCCTTTCCTTTACTTCTAATCACTAAGTAAATAGGTGGTGGGTACCTACCATGTCCCTGGCTCGATGCTAGGCATTGGGGATAAAGCAATGAACAAGACTGACATAGTCTTGACTTGTGGAATTGATATTCTAGTGACAGTCAGAAAATGAAGAAAATGATAATCCCACGAATGACTCTGTAAACCTTAAGGCTGTAATAGCAAAGGCTCTGGAGCCTTATGGCTACTGGCTAGTTATAAGTGTCACTTTGGAAATGTCACCTCACCCCTCTTTGCTTCAGTGTGCCCATCTATAAAATGGGATGATAGCACTTGCTGCAGCATTGTCTGTGAGAATTAATTAAATTAATACATATCAAGTACTTAGAATAGTGCTTGGCACATAGTAGTCAAAACCCAGTTGCCGCCAAATTGATTAAGACTCCTGTCGACATGTGTTTGTCGGAGTAGAACTGTGCTCCATTGGGTGTTCAATGGCTGATTTTTCATAAGTGAATCTATTAGGCCTTTCTCCCTAGGCCCCTCTGGTGAACTTGAGCCTCATGGTTAGCAGCCAAGTGTGTTTAACCTTTTGCACTATATTGGTTGGTTATATGCTGTGGAGTCGGTTCTGACTTATAGCGACCCTGTACAGGGTTTCTGAGGCTGTAAATCTTTACGGGAGCAGAAAGCCTCATCTTTCTCCCACGGAACAGCTGGTAGTTTCGAACTTCTGACCTTGTGGTTCACAGCCCAATTTGTAACCACTACGCTACCAGAGCTCCTTTTTGCACTATATACTAAATGCCTAATAAGGAGCTCTGGTAGCGTAGTGGTTACGAATCGGGCTGCGAACCTTAAGGTCAGTGGTTCGAAACTACCAGCCGCTCCGCGGGAGAAAGATGAGACTTTCTACTCCCGTAAAGATTTACACCCTCGGAAACCCTATACAGGGTCGCTATGGGTCGGAACCGACTCGATGGCACATAACAACAACAACAATAAGTATTAGCTGTTTTGGTTTTTCTATTTTTGGTGAAAGTATACACAACAAAACGGTTCCCATCCAATTTCTACACATACTGTTCAACAACATTGGCTGCATTGTTCACACTGTATAAGCATTCTCATGATTCTCCTCTAGTTGTTCTACACCCATTAACTTAATCTCATTGCCCTACCCCCCAAACTTCTCATCGATGTTTTCGAGTAGCTGTTGACTGACCATTTGATTTTAAACAGATAATTTTTTAAATGATCATAGCACTCAAGGGTGATTGATATTCTTTACTTGTGCTAACCTGCTATTTAGTTAAAAGGTGACTCCAGAGGATCGTTTTGGTTTCGAATCTAAAGAGTATCTCAGGGTAGTACTCTCAGGGATCTAATAAGACTAGATTCTTTGAGAATTTCAAGTTCTGTTCTACATTTTCATCCCTTTCTAGTCGAATACATCTATGGTGGCATTGATCAGAATGTTCAATAGTGGTAGCTGGGCCCCATCTATTTCTTCTGGTCTCCAGGTAGAGGAGGCTATGGTTCATGAAGACAATTAGTACTGTCACTCGGTTCCTTCTCTGATATTTGCTTTTCCTTCTGTCTCTTCAGCTTTAGATGAATAAAGACTAATAGTTGTGTCTTAGAATATTAACTAGTTTCATTGTTACTACCACCACTGTTAAGTCTAAAGCCCAGGTTACCTAATCCATAGGGTACCTTTGTGCAAATCAGAACATGGTACTGCTTCTTTAGGAAGGGACGCTGGAGTGTGCCAGGGAGCATGGTTTAGTGAGCAGAGCTCAAACTGGATTTCAGCCTCTCTGGCTGCCTCTTGGTTGGGGAACAACCTATTCAACTGTTACTGTTTTTGAATGCTGTTGAGTTGGTTCTGACTCACAGTGATCCTGTATAGGATTTCTGAGGCTCTGAACCTTTACTGGAGCAGAGAGCCTCATCTTTTTCCCGTGGAGCCGTTGGTGGGTTAGAACTTCTGACCTGTGGTTAACAATCCAGGTTTATCCTACAGACTCAGCAGTGCTCCTCTTCAACTGTATGCTGTGGGTTTAGTTAGTCCCTGGCCTCCACAAGTTGATAGGTGAACTTAACACCCTCATATGTAAATATATGCTGTGAATTAATTAACAGCATAAGGAATTAGGTGGTATAGATGGGAAAGAACTTGGAGGAAGGAGAAGCCGCTCTGCCTGAACTGGTCTGAATGGGCCAAATGGAAGTGGTGGGACTAGAAGATGAAGGAGGTTCATGTAGTTAAGGAGGAAGGGGACATGTCAGTCTAGGATGACAGCATAGATCCAGAATGTGGGGACAGGTTACTCTGGGAATCAGTGTTTTACTGGTTCCTGTTTGAGTGGGTAGGGTGGAGGAGCTTGGCCATTGTGTCCTTCTCAATGTCTGGCCTTCAGTCAATCCACACCCGGCCCTGTGTCCACTCTCCAGGTGCTGTGCCCACTGGTGTACTGCAGCATTGTATATTGGATGACAGGCCAGCCAGCCGAGACCAGTCGCTTCCTGCTCTTCTCAGCCCTGGCCACAGCCACAGCCTTGGTGGCTCAGTCTCTAGGGCTGCTGATTGGAGTTGCTTCCAATTCTCTACAGGTGGGAGGGGCCCTGAGAGGGGAGGGAGGTTTCATGGCAGGAAGCAGGAGCTAGCCATGAGGAGGGGACGGATCTGTGGGGAAACCCTGGGGCTCCCCAAGTCCTGGGTCTGCCCTGGTCAATCTTGTGACAGTCAGGCCTCCCTCCACTCTCCCCAGGTGGCCACCTTTGTGGGCCCAGTTACTGCCATCCCTGTCCTCTTATTCTCTGGCTTCTTTGTCACCTTCAAGACCATCCCCACTTACCTGCAGTGGAGCTCCTACCTCTCCTATGTCAGGTCAGTACCGCTTGCCTCACCATGGTGGTGGTGGGTGTGTGCCAACAAGTCAGTGCTGACTCATAGAGACCCTGTATGGGGTTTCTGCATCTGTTGATCTTTATGGGAGCAGAAAGTCTCATCTTTCTCTCAGGGAGCAACTGATAGATTCAAACTGCTGGCCTTGTAGTTAGCAGTGCAGCTCTTAATCCATTACATTATCAGGGTTCCTTTCCCTTACCATATGCTCCGATAGTCTCTGCAGAAGGCCATGTCCAGGTCTTTGTGGATTGTGCCAAGTTTGGTACCTGCCCTACTATACTTTGGGCAGAGCACTTTGGCCAGCCCCCAGGAACAAGAGCATTGTAGCTGGGCTCTGGCAATTTGACCAAGAAGTGGATCCCTGTGCCCTGTATCCTGCTGTTAATGCCCTTGCTTATCTAGGTATGGCTTTGAGGGTGTGATCCTGACCATCTATGGCATGGATCGAGGAAACCTGACGTGCCCAGAGGAACGCTGCCCACTCCGGGAACCACAGAATATCCTCCGAGCACTAGATGTGGAGGATGCCAAACTCTACATGGACTTCATGGTCTTGGGCATCTTCTTCCTGGCCCTGCGGCTACTGGCATACCTCGTGCTCCGTTACCGGGTCAAGTCAGAGAGATAGAGCCTTACACCTGGCCTGCACCCCAGCCCTGCAGCAGGAAGCCCCCAGCCCTTTGGGACTGTTTTAACCTTGTAGACTTGGGCACTGGTTGCTGGTGCAGCCACCCTCCCCTCCCTTGCCTCATTCACAGGCTGGCTAGCAGACTGCACTCCCAGCCCTGGTTCTGGGAGTGGGGGCTTTTCCCCAAGTTGATGTGGTTTATAGCTTCCTCTCTCTTCTCTCCAGCACCTGCATGCAAAGACCACTAGGAGGCTGCCACCCCTCTCCCTGCCCTTGGCACCCTCCTCTGTTGTCTGCCTGGGAGCTCCAGGCCCCACTTACAACTGACCAAAGTGGACCCCACTAGGGGCCCTCACCACACAAGTATTTGTAAACTGGGTTGCTATCAGGTTGGGGTGTCAGGGCTGGACCCTGGTAGAGTCTCCTGGAAGTCCCATTGTGAACATTGGAATAGAGCAGGGAAGGGCTCTGGAAGTCTCTTCCTCCTCTGCACCTTGTCCCCAACCCCCAGACCCTTGGACGGAAGCTGGATTTTCTGTCTTGGTACCCTCTCTCAGTCCTAGGGAATTGGACAGCCCTGGGGCCAGGGGATGCCCCTGTTTCTGCTCCCCATCACCTTTGGTAGGAGGTAGGAGGTAGGGCCTGGTGGCACCGCTGCAATAATGGCTGTTTCTCTCCCACCTGCCACTGGAACTGACAAACGCACTTTATTCTGGGGGGAGGCAAAGTGGGGGGGGTGGTGGCCCAGCCCTCCTTTCCATCTGCTCTCTTAATGCTCCCGCCCTCTCCAGAGTTGTAGGCACCCAATTGTGAGCTGGCAGTCTCAGTCATACACAGTTGGCATCCCCGAGGAAGAGGGATGGTGCAAAGTGGTGGGGGTGCTGTGGGAAGACCGTACCAACCTTCCTGGGGGTGGGGCATGGAGCCCACTTTGGAGGCTAAGGATAAGGTTGGTGCTACCCAGGTGTCTCCAGAATCTGCAGGTGTCTACTCCCTATTCTTCCCTCTCTCCCAAGCCATGGGTGGCACAGGGTACTAGCTCCCTGGAGCTCAGGGCCCAACACAAGCACAGGCGTGGGCATAAGTTGACCTAGGCCACTGCTACCCCATGGCCCTCCTCTTGAGCACCAGGCTAGCATTTCCACTCCCTCACTCCTTTCCCAGTCTCTTTGCTGCTCATTAAAAACCCTCACCATGCCTCCCCATCCCCTCTCAGCCAAGGTTGCCCTAGAGCATCGGAGCAGCATGCTTTGGGCAGTAGGGTGGCAGACGTGACTTGTGCATGTCTGTCTTTCCTGGTGGGGGTCCAGGCTTATTCATCGTTTGATATCCCCTCTCCACAGGGCTTCCCGCCCCCCCCCCCCTTATTTCTGGACATATACCCCTCTACCTTCCTTCATCTTGCCACGGATTCTTCCCTTACACAAAGATGCCAGTTGTATTTGTGGGATTTCACCAATTATTAATAAAACCTATATTTATACAGTATGCAGTGTATTCATGTGTGGGGGGCCTACCTGGTACTGTGAACTTTGAAGGGGCCTTCAGAGCACTTGTTAAGGTGTCTTCCAACCTTTGAGAACCCGTGGCAGGGGTGACAAGTGCTATGTATATACTGAGCTAGTGAAAGTGTGTTTTATAAGGTATGTGTCTCATGCTTTGCATCTTAGAAATGCTTAATGTTCATTATCTCAAGGGATTCCAGTGCCAACCCTTCACTCTCCTCCATGGCAGTCCAGTTGTCAGATGAAAGAACTGAGACATTGGTTAAATTACTTGCCCAAGGACCTGCGTCTAATAGAGGAGGAATCAGTTCTGGAAACCAAGTCTTAAACCTTCAGGCTTCTCATTCTTTGCATTGGCCGGTATCACTTGTTCATGGGGGCTCTGGGCACTACATCTATGTGCCCTGGGTTTGCAGCATGGATATGTTTATGCCTGTGTGATACATGACTGGATTTTCAGGACTCATTGATGAGGGGAGGTATCATTGGTCATACAGAGCAGTGACAGCAAGTGGCAGGGGCCTCATTGGCCTCACTCCAGGGCTGAGTCATGGATTATCTAAGGCATGGCAGTATTGCACCTGCTTTGGCCACTGCTTAAAGTTTGTAATAACTCTCTGCAGTTTCCATCGCCAGCCATGAGAGATCATTCAGGTAAAACTAATACTTCAATAATTGAGAGCCTCCATGGCTCAACACAGACTGTGTGATCTTGCTCTGCTGAGTGTAGAAGGAGAAGAAACTGGAAAAAAAAATGACTTAGGCACATCATAGACCAATTTTCATCAGTGAAAGCAAACTAGGTGCAGTTGTAATTTTTATGAAGTGCCCTATCATGTATTAAACAAAAGATTAGCAAGTTTGACTTGTAATTTTGAGTTGATGTGGTGGTTGTGTGCCACTGAGTCGGTTCTGACTCATTGTTGTTAAGTGCCGTCGAGTTGATTCTGACTCCTAGCGGCCCTGTGTAGGGTTTCTAGGGAGCAGCTGGTGAGCATGAACTGCTGACCTTGCGGTTCAAACTGACCTTGCAGTCCAGTGCATCAACCACAGTGCCACAACAGCAACCCTGTATAGGGTTTCCAAGGCTGTAGATCTTTATGGGAACAGAAAGCCTCATCTTTCTCTCCAGGAGAAACTGGTAGATTTGAACTGCTGACATTGTGGTTACTAGCCCAGCTCACAATCCACTATGCTACTAAGGCTCCTTGATATTAATGCAAAGTTATCTAAAATATGGGTTGTTGTTGTTGTGAAATGATGCTGTCGAGTCAGTTTTGACCCATAGTGACCATGTATAGAGTTTCTGAGGAGCGGCTGGTGAGCTTGAACCGCCAACCTTATGGTTCAAGCTGTCTTTGCAATCCAGCGCATTAACCCACAGCGCCATACCAGACCTCTAAAAGATGGGTATCAGATGTGAAAGTTTAGTGTTTGAAGTAGGCTCTTTTTTTCAGTAGATATGTCTCTGTGCAGATAGGTCTGGTGGCCCGAGGCAAGTGTCCAGACGTGCTTGGGGGCTGAGGGCAGAATGACTCAAGAACACATTGTCTCACACTCTTCTCTTCTGGGTCTGAAGGTTGGGGACTGAAGGAAGGGACGTTCATCTTACTTGGAATGCCCTAGTTGTGTTGAATACAGAGCTAAGTGCCCCGTGCTAGAAGAGGGCCCGGTCTGTGACTGGTTGGATGCTTTCCTGGAGTTGGTTTTCCTATGTTTCTTATGAGGATTGGGAGTGGGAGGAAGTTCCAGTTCTAGGTTCTAAAATTCTAGTTCATTGTAGGAAGAATTCTGGGTTACACCTTCACCCTAGGATATGCCAATGAATGGCTCCTCAAGAGTCAGCAAGAAATCCCACGATTCTTAAGTCTTTCTTAAGATGCATCATTTCAAATCATTCTCTGTTAATGTTCCTGAAAGTGTAAACTATTTACCAACTTATACATGTACAAGGGTAAGTCAAAAAGAATTTTTAAATAAAATCATAGGATCTTATATTTTGTAAAAATATTAAATGTGAAGCTATTGTTTCTCAATATATCCTTCATCTAGTTCTATATATTTATGAAGGTGGTATTTCCATACCTTTAACCCTTCCTGGTGTGTCGCTGTGGTCTAATGTGTCAGACTGCAAAGTCGTTTGAACTGCAAGGATGGTGGTTCAAGCTCACCAGCTGCTCTTTGGAAACCCTATACAGGGTCGCTATGGGTCGGAATCGACTCGATGGCACTTCACAACAACAACAACAACCTTCCTGGTAAGGATCTCTGGTAGTGCAGTGGTTACGAATCGGGCTGTGAACCTCAATGTCAGCAGTTCGAAACTACTAGCTGTTCTGCGGACGAAAGATGAGGCTTTCTGCTCCCATAAAGATTTACAACCTCAGAAACCCTGTACAGGGTTGCTATGAGTTGGAACGGACTCCATGGCACATAACAACAACAACAACCCTTCCTGGTGGAGTCCTGGTATGGCGCTATAGGCTAATGTGTCAGACTGCAAAGTCGTTTGAACTGCAAGGTCGGTGGTTCAAGCTCACCAGCTGCTCCTTGGAAAACCTATACAGGATCACTATGGACCGGAATTGACTTGACAGCACTTAACAACAACAACAACAACAACCCTTCTTGGTGTGGTGCTGTAGGATAAGTAATGGACTGTTACCCACAAGGTTGATGGTTCAAACCCGCCAGCTCCTCCTTAGAACGCCAATTCAGGATCACTATGAATTGGAACCAACTAGACAGCATACAACAGCAACAAGTCTTTCCCAAGAAACTCTGGTGTAGTCATGGGTTACACATTTGGCTGCTGACTACAAGGTCAGCTGTTTGAATCCATCTGCTACTCCAAGAGAGAAAGATGAGGTTTCCGTTCCCATAAAGATTTATAGACTTGGAAACCCTACATAGGGTCCTATGAATCAGAATTGACTCGGAGGCAGTGGGTCACCCTTCCCTGAAAAATACTGTACTCTTCAATGTATGCCATGTAAAAATGACAGTTTTAGTATCCTTGAGGGACTCAAATTGTGTTTCTTGTCAGTAGTCAGTTTTTAGCTTGGGGAAACAAAAACAAGTCTGAGGAGCCAGAGCAGGGCTGTAGTGTGCATAGGAGTAAGGTTTCCCAATGAAATTTTCATAGGACAGCCCTTGCAATCCTCAAAAAAATGGAGCAGGTGCATTGTTGTGATGGAAAAAAATTCCGTGGAACAACTTTTCCTAGCCTTTTTCTCACCAGTGCAGTTTTCAGTTTTCTTAAAAATTCTTCATAATAAGCCCTCATGATCATCATGTATTCTTCAATTCAAGGTTGTGGCTTTGGATTCTCAAAAAACAATCACCAGAATCTACTGAACTGACCTCTCGACCTTGAATTTATCTGGCCCACCAGATCCCCGTGACAGCCACTGTTCTGATTGGACTTTGCTCTTGGAATCCTTTTGGTAATCCAAGACTCCTCCCCATTATGATTTATTCTGTGAAGTCATCTCTTTGAACTAGCTCCTCTTCACACAATGCTTTTTC